TTTTGCAGTGTTCCTGCAAGGGCTGGTGTGGAAACAAGCAGTGTGGGTGCAGGAAGCAAAAGTCAGACTGTGGTGTGGACTGTTGCTGTGACCCCACAAAGTGTCGGAACCGCCAGCAAGGCAAGGTAGGATCAGTGCTGTTTCCTCTCCCCATCCCTTCAGACCTCCCACTAGTTTCCACCCTCTTTTTCTGCCTTCCATCCTGAAACCTGGAGTCTCCTGCACAGCTCTTCCTACCCTTCTCCTTCCCTCTGAACCCAGAAAAAGAGACAGTTCACTTCTCAATCCTTTTTCCTTGCTGCTCGCCTGTTCACATACCTCTTTCAGAAACCACAGTGCTTCCCAGGAGATTCCCAGGTATAGAGCTCCCTACCCCCAGGCTTGGCTGTAAAGTTTCGGTACTGTTTTTGAGACGACAAGGACAAGAGAGCAGGCATTCACAGGCATATAGACATGTAAGATCAAACTAGTCCAGAGGTTTAACTGGAACTGTAAGACCCACGTGCTGAGGTAGCAGCTTCCAGGAAGTTAATCCTTCTGACATCTTGAGACATTCGTTACTTAGACTCTCTCCATGGCAACCAGCTAGCTATTCCATGGCTCTAGGAAAAGACCCACAGGAACCAGGCCTTTCTAATAGTCACTATTGTAAACTAAGTTAATCTAAATGTCCTCTTAATATTGTTCCCAGGAATAGCAAACTCAGGAAAACCAAATGTGCCCTGGGAGCAGCACCAAGCAGGTCAGATCCCTATACCTGCCTTACACCTACCTGTGCAATAGCAAAAATGCATTACTACAGCTCTCTATGTGATATACAATAATTCTAGCAAGCACGGTCTAATGATGATTCATCATGCATTTCTTGAACATCCACATGTGAAAAGTTTCAACCTGCATCTTCTATTAAAAAGACCTCTGGCCGGGTGCAGTGGCTCACGCCTGTAATCCCAGCACTTTGGGAGGCCAAAGCAGGCAGATCACAAGGTCAGGAGATCGAGACCATCCTGGCTAACACGGTGAAACCCCATCTCTACTGAAAATACAAAAAAATTAGCCGGGTGTGGTGGCAGGTGCCTGTAGTCCCAGCTACTCAGGAGGCTGAGGCAGGAGAATGGCATGAACCTGGGAGGTGGAGCTTGCAGTGAGCTGAGATCGCGCCACTGCACTCCAGCCTGGGCAACAGAGCGAGACTCCATCTCAAAAAAAAAAAAAAAAAAAAAAAACTTGTAATATACATAGGCAAGCCAGAAGTCAGGCTAAGAACTGTAGAAGTAGCAGAGACCTTGAGGATCCTCTATTCCTGTGGTTTTTCAATTTGGGTTCAAGAGTCATGTAGTAGCTCCGTGAAAGGGCCTCCAGGCAGAGGGGCATGGCCCCTCCCTCCCTCCTCCCATCTCTATCTGTCTCTCTCAGAATCAGTTTCGTTAACTGAAAGGAATACTAATACAGGCAACACCCAGTATAGATGCTAAAAGGGATATCGCAAATTGTAGAGAGGGGGAGTTTAGTCAAACAAATGACCAAGGTTTTCTTTGCTTTAAACCTGGCCTTGTGAGATGTCCCATGCCACTACCTAGTCTTTGCCTTCAGAGGCTACCTACAAGCATTGCTCCATTCCTTCAGGGACAGAGTATGTCAAACACTGTGACCTCCCCAAGCAGGGCCTCCCTAAGACTTGCTTCAGCTGACTAATCAGGCACTTAGAACTGTTACCTCTTTGGTTGAATGGGAGCAGACTGATTTGCAGCCAAATTTATAATATGCCTATCTGCTTGATTTTCAGGATAGCTTGGGCACTGTTGAACGGACCCAGGATTCTGAAGGCTCCTTCAAATTGGAGGATCCTACGGAGGTGACCCCAGGACTAAGCTTCTTTAATCCCGTCTGTGCCACCCCCAATAGCAAGGTAGGTGGGCTAAAAGGCAGGCATTGGAAAACTGGATTAGCATCCTTCTCTGCGTTATCTATGACGGACCAGTAGAAGAGAGGCAGGTGGAGTAAAGGTGTAATCAGCTTGCTGGGAACTAGGGGTCGCGCATAGACTAGAGTCTGGTTTTTTCCATGGAATGATCTTAAAGAATACCTCATACTACTGGGAGTATGTCGAGCATCTATAGCAGCTCGGCTGGGCTGAGCTTCTGCCCCTTTCTAAAGTCTATTCATACCTGTCTCTGTCCCTCCTAGATCCTGAAAGAGATGTGCGACGTGGAGCAGGTGCCGTCAAAGAAGACTCCCCCAGCTCCCTCCCTTTTTGACCTCCCAGAGTTGAAACATGTAGCAACAGAATACCAAGAAAATAAGGCTCCAGGGAAGAAAAAGAAACGAGCTCTGGCCAGCAACACCAGCTTCTTCTCTGGCTGCTCCCCTATCGAAGAAGAGGCCCACTGAAGTTGGAGTCATCATCTCTACCCTCAGTCTGGCTTGGGAGATCTTTCAGGTTGCAGCCAGAAGGGGTTTTTAAATGACTTCTCTGGATTTCAGGTTTCTTGCTGTTGAAAAAAGGAAAAAAGCGTTACTGAAAAGAAGGTAACCTTTGTTGGATGTTGGCCCTCAGCCTCCAGCTCCAGACTACTACTCGCTGTTCTCCAGAAGGGTGCCAAACCACCTACTGAAGAGAGAACCAACTGACTTTCCTAATGACTCATCAGGAACCAGTCCTCAAAATCATCAAGTTATTTCTTATTTGTGAGCAGTTCAGGCTATCTCATGACGGGGATGAGGCCAAGGCTTTCTTATCTTTTGGTTGTCTCTGCTTAACGGAGGAGCCTGGCCTAGGACGGAGGTTTAGATCTTTCATTCCACCTCAGGAATGGGGTTGTGATCTGTACTGTCCTGACCCTCTCTGAATTGTGTTTCAATAGTACTCTCGATTGTCTTCCATGTTGTTGAAGTAAATGAATTATTTTTAAATGTTAAGTAAGTAAATAAACCTTAGCCCATCTACTGTTCGGGAAGATCCTTCTGTGCTAGAGGGAGAAATAAAATTTCAACCTGTGTTCCTGAGCCCCTGAGGAAGCTATTAAGGGAATTCATTACAAGTACCTGAGCCTCCCTGCCTTATTGGAGCCGCCCTCTTTCCCAGAAGGTAGTGTGGAGTGTGACATGTCTTTATGTTGCTTGCTACCCTAAGAAATCAGAATCACGTTAGCAAGGCCAGTGGCCTGACCTCCACTGTAGAACCTGCCTGGCTTCCAGATTTGGGAGGAAGAAACCACGTTTACTAACCATCTCCATGTTCTTGCCACAATTTTATTTGTTCTTCACACACACACACAAAAAGGTCAACATAGATAGATGTCCTTATTTTGCATTTGAGGAAACTGGGGTACAAAGAAGTTAAGTAACTTACCCAGAGTCACAAAGTTAGTGAGCTAGGACCTGAACGCAGAGCTACCATCCAAGCTTCACTCTAGCCAACTCTCTAGAGTGCCAGCAGCGGCCACTTCTAATGCCCTGCAGCCTGATTTCTTAGTGCAGGAGGGGCATTGCACCATACTGCTGTCCAGTCCCAGGACAGAACGGCACTGGCTCCTTGCATTCTCCTTTGAAAGATGCTTATGCCTTACAATGTATCAGGTTCTCCATCTCTGCTTAAAGCTAAAAGGGGGCCAGCCCTGGAATACCATACACAGGCTGCTGACTGGCCTTATCTTCTGAGGTGCTCACAAGCCCTGCGCTTCATATCTATGCATTCTGAATTCCAAAACCCTTCTCCCAAAAAAAGCTCCCAAACCATCCCCAAAAACTCAAAAGCCAAGACTCCTCTAGAATCCACCAGAGCCCAAGCAAAAGAAATTGAGCAACAGTCTGCCTAGAATGAAGCCTGCAATGGACTAGGTGACCTGCTGGTCCTCCCTGGCCTCCTGCCAGCAAGCAGCCCTGCTTCTCTTTGCATTTTAATGCCGAGGGAGCAAAGGAGCCTCTGCCATTGCCAACTAGAGCCTCTGGACACAATGGGAAGGCTGAGTGGGAGGGGGGCCAGCTCTTGGCATAAGAGAGCCAGTCTTCCTTCTCACTGTTTGAAAGCCAGTGTGTGGCGGGGGAGGGGTAAGCAGACTTATCCCCAGAGAAAACATCCTTTCCTACCAACACTGCACTAATAGCCCCCAGACCTCGAGTCACCGCATCAGGCATAATGTAGAGGGAGAGGTCAATCAAGCCAGCCCCTGACCCCCATCCCACCCAGACCCCTGTGCTTTAGCACTAAGCAAACTCTATAGCGTGCTAACCAGCCCTTCCCCGCTGATGCTATAGTAACAGCATCTTTTGTATGTGTTCATCTTCCAAAAGCCTATGACCCCAATATACACTACACTCCTCAAAGGATTCTTGGAAAGAGACTCATATGCCTTAGGGACAAGGCAGCAGAAATGACACAAGTCCTGAATGAGCATCTCCTGTCGGGTGATGAGTGAAGACGGGAGAACTACTAGTGTCACCCAGGATCCACAAGGCCCATGGGGACCTCTGGTCCAGAAACAGGGCAACTTGCTGTCCAGAGTTCAGGAAGTAGCTTGTAGCTTCTGTTGCCCAGGCTGGAGTGCAGTAGCACAATCTCAACTCACTGAAGCCTCGACCTCCCGGACTCAAGCAATCTTCCCACATCAGCCTCCCAAGTAGCTGGGATTATAGGTGCACACCACCATGCCTGGCTAATTTTTGTATTTTTTCACCATGTTGGCCAGGCTGGTCTTGAACTCCTGACCTCAGGTGATCCACCCACCTCGGCCTCCCAAAGTGCTGGGATTACAGGTGTGAGACACCACTCCAGGCTGCAGCTTCTTATACATGCACCTTGCTGAATTAGAAGTAGGAGCTCAAGAGGGGAGAGGGCCTAATGAATCAAGGCTGTATTCCCAGGGAGCTTGAGACTTGATGTTAGACTTACACACACATACATACACACACACACACACACACACACGCCTTTCCAGTGGGCTGGCTGGGCCTCTTCTCCTCACTGCCAAGCTGCAAAGTTGTGTGGTCACCTCCCCCCCAGCTTCCCGCCAGCCTGTGCCCTCAGCCCTCGCCTCCCTGAGCCAGGACAAAGCCCCGGCAGTGACTGGGAGGGGAACAGGAGGAGGGACAGAGGGATGGGAAAGGCTGCACAAAGGAATTCCTCACCCCAAGCCCCCTGACCGCCAGCAAGTAAAGAAGCAGATTTGCTCTCCCTCCCCCTTCCTGCCTTCCATCTTCCCACCCGGGCTGTGCCCAGGCCACAGAGCAGCTGCAGGCCTAGGGAGAGGACCCACACAGCCTCCTGTAGGTGGCAACAGTGCCACCTGTTTGACTCATAGGGCTGAACCGACGACTGAAAAAGGGAGGAGGCAGACCACTCGGAGAGGAGCTGGGAAGCAGTGCAGAGAGCAGAGTGGAGCGGAGCTGCCACTGAGCAAAGGTGTGAGGGCTCGGGAAGGCTGGGGGGCCACAGATGGGAGCTGTGGAGCAGAGACCAGCTCCATCCCGCTGGGCTTGGACTGGGGGATTGAATGGCACCCCTGTCAGCTCCCCTACTTGGAGTTTTCAGGCTGCTCAGACCCTGATCCCATCCTACAGACAGCTCCTGAAGGGAGGGGACTCTGGAAGGCAGTGTCTGGGGCACAGGGGTAGGACCCCAGGGGAGGCAAGAGCTTAGGGCAGGCTATCAAACCAGCTCCAAGATGGGCAGAGGCAAGGGCTTCCCTTTGGGTTGGCTTTTTACCGGGAAGGGTCTCAGAGAGGGGAGAGATTTCCTTCCCCCAGCTCCAGCTCCTCACCCCTACCCTAACCCTCCTTTCCCAAGGCAGCATAAAGAGGGCAGTTCAGAAGCAGCCACACCTTCCTCCTTACCGGACCCAGCCACTGTGCACCCCTCCAAGACTCCATAGCCTCTGGGGAGCTCGGAGGACAAGGGGCCCTGTCCCTCAGCCCACATGCACACATGCTCACACACTTTGGGTGTATCCAGGGGCTCCTTTACATACTCAAAGTCACCTGAAATCGTATTGTACCGAGAGCCAGTTGTGCAAACACAAGTACAAATGCTGACACAAATCGCACACCCTCTCGTGTAGAATCAGTCACATACCCAGCCAAGTCTGGGGATCAGCTCAGTCAGCCAAACCCAGAAGCATAAGGTACAGGGGTCCCCTGCCCCAAGACAACCACACCCCGCATTCACACCTTTGCCCTGCGTTTGTTATACTTTGACCAAAGCTAACTTAGAGGGTGGGGCTCCTGAAGGCGGGTCTGGGCTTCTGGTTGGGGTGGGGGGATGACTGGGCAGGAAAGGGCAGGACTTGAGGGGGAGGCTTTGTATTTTGAAAATCCGAAGATTCCTTTAGAAGACTGAGAGTGACCCAGGCAACATGTTCACCTCAAGTCTTCCTCTTCTTGGCAGTGCCCTCTGTCCCCTGGGAGGTGGACACAGAGAATCTTTCAGAGATTTGTGATCTGAATAATCTCTATATCCATAGCAACTGGCCAACTAGCTGGGCCTTCATTAGCCCCAGGTCAGAACTGGAACCTTTGCTTCAGGTTACTTCTGCTTCCTGGGCTGGAAAGCAATTCAGCATGGGGCTGCCTCCAGCTTGGCCAAACCTGCTTTAACTTGCTGAACTGAGTTTGCCCCACCCTGGGCAGTTTCTCTTGAGTTCTTTACCCCCAGGGCAAGCACTCCATCCCCAGAGGTGTGTGCTGTTAAATGGGGAGGAGCTGGAGACAGTGGATATGCATCCTGCCCGAAAAGAGGCTGGACCTCTTGGGTGTCCCACTGACTCTCCAGGTACCAAGATTAAAGGGAAACGAAGGCTCTGGAGATTGTCTCCCATTGCCAGGCTTGCAGCTGGGGCTGCTCGCCTCATCCAGTCTGGCACTCTGGGCCTGCCCCGTGACCTCCGTTGCTGAGCAGCGGCCCAGGCCTCTGCTCCTCCCCCGGGCTCCTCAGATACACTGGGAGGGGGACTGGGATCTGCTCTCTGCCAGGGTCCCTGATGGTTGAGTGTCCCTTCCCCCAGGCCTTCACCATGGCCGAGTCCCCCGGCTGCTGCTCCGTCTGGGCCCGCTGCCTCCACTGCCTGTATAGCTGCCACTGGAGGAAATGCCCCAGAGAGAGGATGCAAACCAGCAAGGTGGAGTAGGGATAGAGGGGGGAGGCTGGAAGTCAGAAGGCAGAGGCCCACTGGAGGGGATAAGAAGGCCAATTGTGTTCATAGACAGCTTGGGGGAAGGGGCTCTCTCTCCCAGGAAGAAAATCTCCCTAAAATATGGAAAGAGCTGCCCCCTGAGCAGAGCAGCCCAACACGGGGCAGGCAGCTCCCTTCAGCTGCCACCTGCTGGGGACTCTGAGCTTCAAGTAGGTATTGGTTGTGAGTTTCTCTCCTGCCCCTTTGCAGTGCGACTGTATCTGGTTTGGCCTGCTCTTCCTCACCTTCCTACTCTCCCTGGGCTGGCTGTACATCGGGCTCGTCCTTCTCAATGACCTGCACAACTTCAATGAGTGTGTCATGGATTCCCCCTGCCGCTTCCCCAGCATACATGTCAACCTGCTCCCCACCCTGGGACCCCTAGGCGCCCCACTGCCAGTCATCCCCCAGCCCTGCCCAGCTCCTCAAACCCAGCTCTGCTGCTACCCAATCTCCTTAGAAAATCCCTCCACAAAATCTCAATCCTTGGAGCCCCTGGCCCCGTGAGGGGCTTTCTCCTCACTCCCTTCTAGTCCTCCTGGATCCACCCACCCCACTTCCCCTCAGGCCACTATTGACACCCCTTCCCCCACTTGGACACTTCCCTCTCCCCTCCCACAGATTCCTCTTCCGCCGCTGGGGACACTGGATGGACTGGTCCCTGGCATTCCTCCTGGTCATCTCTCTACTGGTCACATATGCATCCTTGCTATTGGTGGGTCTGGAGGCCGCTGGCCTAACCCCACCTCAGCCTTCCTTCCTGCTTAGTTCTAGCTCCCTATTCTCATCCTGGCCACTGAGGGAGGGGCTAATTCTTGGGCAGGAGGGAGGTACCAGCCTGGGAAGCCCACCTCAGTAACCTTGCTCCCCTCTTGGTGCCCCATCAGTCCCACCACTCTCTGCCCCCAGGTCCTGGCCCTGCTCCTGCGGCTTTGTAGACAGCCCCTGCATCTGCACAGCCTCCACAAGGTACAGTAGGGATGGGAATGCATGGGAGAGGGGGCCACTGGGCCCAGCACTTGGCTGGCTATTTGCTGAGGACCTCACTTTTATACCCCCGGGGGGTCAAGCCCAGGACCTGAAGCCCAGTAAGTATTTGTTGAGTGAAAGGAGGAAAGTAGATGTGTCAGGGGAAGGGAAGGGTCGGGTCCCCTCTCCAGAGAGTGAAGGAGCAGCTCACCAACCATAAGCCCAAATTGACCAAGAGGCCTCATTCATCCCTGGGCCCCCAGGTGCTGCTGCTCCTCATTATGCTACTTGTGGCCGCTGGCCTTGTGGGACTGGACATCCAATGGCAGCAGGAGTGGCATAGCTTGCGTGTGTCACTGCAGGTGAGTGGCCAATCTCCAGTGTCTAGGCGGGAGCCTTGGCTTGCAGCCAACTCTAGAACATATCTTGCTCCTATTCCCCCAAGACTACAGGTAGCTCTCAACTCCAGCAGTCAGGCCCTAAGAGGAAAGCGGGGAGGGGCACTGGAGAAGAGCCCGCCTCACCAGCTCTTGTCCACAGGCCACAGCCCCATTCCTTCATATTGGAGCAGCCGCTGGAATCACCCTCCTGGCCTGGCCTGTGGCTGATACCTTCTACCGTATCCACCGAAGAGGTGCCAATGCCACTGCCCCACTCACCCTTGCTGGCCACTCCTGCTCTGCCACCTGCACTCTGCCTTCCGTCCCCAGAGCTCTCCCCTTGCCCATTCTTGAAAGCCTGTCCCCCACTCCCCACAGGTCCCAAGATTCTGCTACTGCTCCTATTTTTTGGAGTTGTCCTGGTCATCTACTTGGCCCCACTATGCATCTCCTCACCCTGCATCATGGAAACCAGTGACTTACCACCCAAGCCTGGGCTGGTGGGACACCGAGGGGCCCCCATGGTGAGTGTTGGACAGAATGCTGGGAGGGTCAGGAAGGTCTGCTCGTCCGCACTACAGCGGCCAGGCCTGTGGGTTCCCAGTCTCCCATCCTCCCCTGCTACCTCATCGCCTATTCCCTTTCACAGCTGGCTCCCGAGAACACCCTGATGTCCTTGCGGAAGACAGCTGAATGCGGAGCTACTGTGTTTGAGACTGACGTGATGGTCAGGTGAGGGAAGCTGGGGCTTAGGGGACCTGGGGGGGCTGAAGGATATGATGACCAGCCCCAGAGCTTGGCCCTCTGACACCCCTTGTGCCCTCAGCTCCGACGGGGTCCCCTTCCTCATGCATGATGAGCACCTGAGCAGGACCACGAATGTAGCCTCTGTATTCCCAACCCGAATCACAGCCCACAGCAGTGACTTCTCCTGGGCTGAACTGAAGAGACTCAATGCTGGGTCCTGGTTCCTAGAGGTGAGGACAGCCTCTGCAAAGAGGCAGCCACCTACAGGGACATTCAGAGAGGGCAGAGTTCATTCTGTTGATAAGCATTTGCTCAGCCCTGTGCTAGGCAATAAGAACATAGTCTGTGCTCTCACTCAAGTCACTTCCACCTAGTAGAGAGCCTAGGCAGCAGACGATTCAGGAAACCCAGAGCAAGAAAAACATTTTCCTGCCTGGGAGAGAATCAGGAGTGGATTCATACAGGAGAGGATGAGAGTCTTCTCCTAAGATGCACAAAGCAGGGAACGGGAACTCCATCAGAGGGAAGAGGACATGTAAAACCCAGAAGTCTGAAAAAGGGTGTTTCCAGGAATAAAGTGTGGCTGAATGTAACTGAGAGAGACAATTCATGGGAGTGGTAGGGAGCAGAGGCTTGGCCTTGAAGATCTCCGAATGCCTGGCCCAGAAGTGTCAACTTCAATCCTGTAAGTGGTACAAAATATTTAAAAGGATGTTGAATTTTTTCAGTTCCTCTTTCCCTGATTGTAAAAGTAATACATGTTCATTGTAAAAAGTAAAACATCAGAGAAATAAGAAATAACATAGAAATCAAAGTCTCCCATAATCCAATCCCTCTGAAATATTCACTGTTAACAGTTGGATACACACACACAGACACACACACAGTTCCCAACTTCTGAGGTTCCACTTAATGATTTTTTTACTTTATGATGATTTGAGATTGATATACATTCAGTAGAAACTATACTTAGAGTACCCATATGACAATTGTTTTTCATTTTCAGTACAATATTCAATAAATCACATGAGATATTCAATACTTCATTACAAAATAGGTTTTGTATTAGATGATTTTTGCCTAACTGTAGGCTAATGTAAGTTCTGAGCACACTTAGGGTAGGCTAGGCTAAGCTAGGATATTTAGTAGGTTAGGTATATTAAATACATTTTTGATTTTCAATCTTTTCAACTTAAAAAATGGGTTTATCAAGATACAACCCCATCATAAGTCAAGCTGCATCTGCATACACAAACACACACTCTCTATTTTGCACAAATAGAATCATTACACAGACTCTTTTGCAATTTGCTTCTTTTCCATTTAATTCTTTACATCATATCAGATCAGAGTGATTAAGAGCAAAGGATGTCTGGGTTTAAACCCTGGCTCCACCACTTACTGGCTGTGTGACCCGAGGCAGCATTTCTTAAGTCTCTCTGTGCCTCAATTTTCTCATTTGTACAATGGGAATAATAACAGTACCTACTTTGTAGGGTTATCGGGAGGATTAAATCAGTTAATACACATAAAGTACTCAGAACACTGCCTGGCACATAGTAGGTACTTAATAAATGTTAGATAGCTAGCTTTATCCATGTCAGCAATTAGGAAGTGAGGTCATTCATTGAGAATAAGGAGAGGAGAGGAGAGTAGCAGAGGCTTGGAATAACACTAGGGGGAATGGAAGAGGAAGCAAATCAAGAGCAAGTAAAAGGATTGCTAAGCAGTGCTGAGAGAGAAAAATAAGGACTGCAGTGCCAAGAGCCCACATTTTGTACTCTGCCCGTGGCAGTGCTCAGTCCCCAGTTCTAGTGGTAGAGGAGGCAGACAATTGTACAATTGAATCAGTCTGGGAGTTGTAGGGCAAGTGGGACAGAAAGGGAGCTGAGAGTGCTATGGAAAAGTAGTTCAAGCTGTGGATGAACCATGGGTAGGGGATGTAGGTGCAGCTAGAAAGGGGCTGATGAACTGGGAAGAAACCAAAGCGTCAAGATTGCAGAGGTCTCCTCGAGACCAACGAGAAGATGTAGTGGGAGAGAGGAAGTTAGGAAACTGGAAGGGCAGGAGGTTGAGGTCACAGAGTAAGTTGTTAGATGGTCTGGAAGAAGGCCACGGTTTGGAAAAAGGCCCTGGCTCAGAGGTGGAAAGAAGCTGGACACCAAGTGGAAGATATGAGTGAAGATAGTGAGGATGGGGGCAAGGCCGGGAGGCCTCTTCTGGTCTTGAAATAATTGTTCTTTCTTATAGAGGCGACCCTTCTGGGGGGCCAAACCGCTGGCAGGCCCTGACCAGAAAGAGGCTGAGAATCAGACAGTACCAGCATTAGAAGAGCTATTGGAGGAAGCCGCAGCCCTCAACCTTTCCATCATGTTCGACTTGCGCCGACCCCCACAAAACCACACATACTATGACACTTTTGTGATCCAGACATTGGAGACTGTGCTGAATGCAAGGGTGCCCCAAACCATGGTGATGTTTCCAGGACCCCCTCTCCCCACCCTGTCTTCCCTAGGCCATGATGATGATGATGATTTTGAGGCTGCCCCTAGCCCCAGGGCCCTGCCCCAGCTCACATACCCCATTCTGTGGTCAAACCTCTCTGCCCCGTCCCTGCCCTTGGAATCCCTAGGTCTTCCCCAGCTTCACACCCATCCTTCCTGAACCACAGGTCTTTTGGCTACCAGATGAAGATCGTGCTAATGTCCAACGACGGGCACCTGGAATGCGCCAGATATATGGACATCAGGGAGGCAACAGAACTGAGAGGCCCCAGTTTCTCAACCTCCCCTATCAAGATCTGCCACTATTGGATATCAAGTGAGTGCTAGAGGAAAGGAACCAAGGGGATCACATGAGGCTTAATGGCAGGGAAGAACCAATTCAGGGAGAGCAAAGCCTCTACATTCATTCACTCATACAACAAGTATTTACAGAACACTTGCCATGTATCAGGTAGCGCTGCAGGCTTTGGGGACACAACACGAATCAGACAGGCAAGGTTCCTGCTTTTGTGGAATACATGTACTACTGAAAGAAACAGAGAATAAGTCACTTAACAAAATACATGCATATTGGAAAGTGAAAAAGTGTTATGAAGACAAAACAGAGAGATGTAGAAGAGTGGTTAGGTTTGGGAGTGATGGGCTGGAGCAGGGAGGTGGGTGCAGCCACATTAGGAAGGCTGGTTAAAGAGGTGATATCTAAGCTGAGACCTGAATGGTCGCAAGGAGCTAACTACGAGCTGCAGAACAGGAATGGCAGCCTAATGAGCAAGGGGAAGGGGAAGCTAGAGAAGCAGGCAGGGGTCAAATTGGGTAGGACCTTGTAGGCCACGGGAAGGATTTTATTCCACAGCAAAGAGATCAGGGTAAGACAGCATGAATCGGGGAGAGTCCCAGATGTGAGCTGAACCCCAGAAGCTGATCCAGCTGAACCATGACGGACTTCAAAGCATCTGGTTGCTAAAGCCTCTTATAAGGTCCTTGTGTTCAGATAGAAAAATGTGAACTGAATGATAGCCCAGTTATCATACATATTTCTTTTTTTAATTTGAATTTTAATTAAAAAAATTTTTTTAGAGATAGGGTCTCACTCTGTCACCGAGGCTGTAGTGCAGTGGCCTGATCATAGCTCACTGCAGCTTTGAACGCCTGGGCTCAAGTGATTGTCCCACCTCAGCCTCCTGAGTAGCTAGGACTATAGGCGCACACCACTATGCAAGGCTAATTTTTTTTTTTTTTTTTTTTTTTGTAGAGACAGGTTCCTACTACCTGCCCAGGCTGGTTTCAAACTCCTGGCCTCAAGCAATCTTCCTGCCTTGGCCTCCCAAAGTGCTGGGATTACAGGCCTGAGCCATTGCCGCCCTCAGTCTCCTGGTTATAAGCATGAGCCACTTCACCTAGCTATATAAGTATTTCTTTCCCCAAGTTATCACCAAAGAGGAAGACATGACATAGGGTTTGGCTCTCACCTTAGTCTTGTCCTGGTCAACACCAGCTGCTAATCAACTGCTGATCACGTTTCCAAATGATGTGAATTGGTGATGAATACACTGATGATGGAATCGATGCCCTGAAAGGTCTAGGTGCTGTAAAAAGATAGGCCAAATCTAGCAAGATGAAATGCACCAGGGATAGATGTAAAGACCTCTATTTGGGGCCCAAAAGAATTTCAGTTGCATAAAGACCAGAGAGGAGACACTGGCATCAACAGGAACGTGTGTGAAAAAGATCAGGGCTTTCATTGAACAGTATACATAGTGAGTCATCAGTGGGATGTAACATTGCCATAGGCTAACCTGACTCTGGGCTACCTGAATACAGGCATAGTGCCCAGAGGACAGGAGGAGATAGTTTTGCTCTATTCAAAGCTGACCCAAGTTGGCCAGGCATGGTGGCTCCCACCTGTAATCCCAGCACTTTGAGAGGTCAAGGTGGGAGGATCACTTGAACCTAGGAGTTCAAGACCAGCCTGGGCAACATAGCAAAACCCCATCTCTACCAAAAAAAAAAAAAAAAAAACAACTTTGCTGAGCATGGTGGTGCCAACCTATCGTCCTAGCTACTCTGGAGGCTGAGGCAGAAGGATCACTTGAGCCCAGGAGGTCGAGGCTGCAGTGAGCCAAGACTGTGCCACTGCACTCCAGAGCAAGATCCTGTCTCAAAAAAAAAAAGGCTGGTCCAAGCCTATTTGGGATATTATTTTCAGAGACAGGCCCCATATTTTCAAAGGAACATTGATAAATCGGAATATATCATATTAGAGAGGCTTGTACAGGGAAGGAAATAATAAGAGTAATGGCTGAAGGAGCTGGAGCTGTGGGGCCTAGAGAAGGCTCAGGGAGACAGGGCCTCTGCTCAGGACCCAGGGGAGAGACACATTGTGTGGCCCCAGATAGCAAAGCTAGTACTCATGGGCGGAATCCACCAGAAGACAGAGTTCAGCTATGAAAGGAAAATCACTGTTGGTCAGGGGCTGCTATGGAAAGGCAGAGCTGACACCTCCTTGGCAGTGGCACTGTAGATTCAAGCACAGGCAGGGGGCTGCCTCCCAGGTCCCGTGCACCATGATTCTGGATGTTCCCTATTTTCTTTCCCACCTTCACAGGGCATTGCACAAGGATAATGTCTCGGTGAACCTATTTGTAGTGAACAAACCCTGGCTCTTCTCCCTGCTTTGGTGTGCAGGGGTGGATTCGGTCACCACCAACGACTGCCAGCTGCTGCAGCAGATGCGTTACCCTATCTGGCTTATTGTAAGGGCTCTGGGACTGTCACCTCTCCTCTTCTTCTCCCATCCCTGGTTTTCCTTAATTCTGTCCCTCTCTTCCTTACTTATTTCCCCTGATATACTACCCTTGGGACCTTTTCCTATTTTCACAGACCCCTCAAACCTACTTAATCATATGGGTCATTACCAATTCTGTCTCCACCACGCTGCTTTTGTGGACCTTCCTCCTCCAAAGGTGAGTGCTTTGTGCCTCAGCTTTCTGGGTCCTTACTTTCTCCAGGGCCCTGGTGATGAGGCTGCTTCAGACTCATATATGCTGCCCAGGGCTGAGGGTCTGTTTAGTTCCTTTGAGATTCTTAGGCCCTTCCTTATACTATCAAATTGGCTTGAACATGGGAAAAGCACTTAGGGGAGCAGGTGTGGGGGCTGGAAGGGCCTGCTTGAAGCTAGCTGAACTCACAATGGGAAGCTTTTCTCCCCACAGGAGATTTGTTAAGAAGAGAGGGAAAACTGGTAAGAACTTTCTCCCCTCACCTCATATTTCTCCTCCTGTAGCTTTCCCCTTGCTTAACTCCCTAGATGACCTACCCTCCCGCTCCTCCCCAGGCTTGGAAACAGCAGTGCTGCTGACGAGGATCAACAATTTCATGATGGAGTGAATGCCCTGCCCTGCCTCCCCACCCAAGGCAGTCTACATTGCGCAAACAGCAAGGGTTGGAGAGCAGCTGAAATGGAATGCTTCAGGGGTGGTGGGTTGCAGTGAGAGGAGCTTTGCCAACAGGAGATTTTGAACCACGAGGGCCCCTTGCCTAGGTGATGGGCATTCCCTAAGCTGCTATGGAATCTGCTCCCCTTGGGGTTTTGACCTGAGATGTTTGGGAACACAGTGAGTCATCAGAAGTCTCTCCCCAAATGAAACTAGAACAGAGAAAGTAAAAGAGAGATTGTTCGGATAATGTCTCAGACTTGTGTGCACGTGTTCTTGCATAGAAGGCACAGGGTGTGTCGGGGTGGGATAGCTTGGAAGAGGGACTGAAGGAGATAACGAAATGGTCTTTCCCGGAGAACGGTAAGATGATAGAGACACCATCGCCACTCCACGATATACTGTCTTCCCCGACCCTTGCAACTTAGCTGTTTTCGTGCCTAGAGGCCAGAAGCTGAAGAGCCCGTCTAGCCATGTAATTCTGTGCTTACAGGTGGCTTTTTGCTGTGCGCAGCCTTTTCTTCAAGGCAGGTTGGTTCCTGTATCTTGTCTTAATCTGTTACTCAAAGAATGTAATCTCCATTTGGTCACAGCCTAATCTTTTTGGCTCAGGGGCTGGGGAGAGGAAGCACCTTCCATCTGTGGTTGGATGGGACACGACCTTGAGGGGCCATCATGGTGAGATGGGAGGAGGTGGACTGGAGGTGGGAGGAGAATCACCTGCGGCAATGAAGGACTCGCGGGAGGCCCGCGGGAGAGCAGCCACCTCGGGGGCGTCCGGAGGCCAGGCGCGCGGTGCAGGGTTGCGCTGTAGCTCCACCTTGTGGCCGCCCCAAGAGGAGGGCCGCATCCGTTGTCGCCGTGACGTATTTGCTGAATGCCACCTGTTTTCCGTGCCGCTTGGGGACTCGTGTCCTTGACTCAGGACTCCGAGGGCAAGGTCCGATTTCCACAAGTTTTCGCTCCTCTGGGCTGCGAGCAGGGTCCAATTTCCGGCCCAGCCTTCCCTTCGAGGAGCAAGTTCCCCAATGCGTTTGCGGCTCGGGAGTCCCTGGGCTCCGCAGCTAAGGTGGCCAGTGCGGAGCTGACCGAGGATGAAGAGTGTAGTAGAAGCAGGGAGGGCCTAAGGCAAAAACGGGGACAAGAGGGGCTCTGTGGTGACCCCACAGTCTTCCGCCACACCCACATTCGACCTAGTTCGTATCTCCACACGGAGGGAAGTAGAACTAAGGAGTTGGCCAGGTAGGGAGGTCCGGTTCTCGGTTCCTCCTCTCTCGCCAGACCCTGGGGCAGCACTGGCATCATCGGGACAAGACTCGCCCCCCCACCCTCGGTTGCTGGGCAGCCGCGGGAACTACAGTTCCCAGTGAGTCCCCGGCCATTTCCGGTCTCCGGCTGGACGCAAGCGAGTTTGAATCCGTGTTCCCGCCCCCTTCTCCCGGGCCCACCCCTTCCCTTTCTGGCCGCCCCGCCCTCTCTGCGTATCCCTGCACACTCCGGCTCCGGCGGCCGGCCGCGCCCACGTACCTGGCCTGCAGCTGGCACGGTGGGCGGGGGTGCCAGCATGCGACGCGTGGGGAGGCTGGAGGCGCACGGAGAACGAACGCCGCAATCAGTGCTCCGGTCCTGGTCTTCCTGGGGGTCCACGCCGCTGTGTACCGGGCAGGTCTCTCCCACACTCCGCCTTTTCGAGCAGCGTTCCCTTACTTTTCCCGGTTCCCGATCCATACCCCCTCTGTCAGACTGGCTACCAGCCTTAGCTCTAGGGCCCCCAGTCGGCCTGGTACTGCCCGGCTGTCACCTCTCGGCACGTACCTCCTCCCCCATCCCTACTTTAATGTCCCTTCCCAATCGCCCAGTCTCTTCCTCCCCTCACCTCCCAACCTCACCTTGAAGACCTCCAGCAACTCCATCCCTGCAGCCCCAACCTCTCAGCTCTCACACTCTCAGCTGTGGTCCTCTAACCTCAGCGTCTGGCCCCCCAACCGGAACGACAGCACCCAGCCCCAGCCTCTAACCCCTTTCTCCTAGCCCCTAGCCTTGGGTACGCAACCTTGAGCCTGCCACGGGAAATCCTCACTCTCTTCCCAGGAGAACTGGACAGCTATAGCGGCTTAACCTATAGGCCCTGGGCTGGATTCTGACACTGACAAAAACTTAAGGGCGGAGGACCCGGGGGAGCTGCTCATTGGGGTTCGGATGTAGTTGCTCTTCGTTATTTTTAGCTGCTGACTCACCGCTCCTGGCATCCGGGTTTGGGGCTAGCAGGCTGGGCTAGGGGGCTATTAATAGAGCAGGAGCACAGCCCCGACCCAGTTCAGTTTGGAAACACAGAGAGCAAGAAGCGTCCCCTGCCACCATGCCCTGTGGAGATGTGGACTGAGCAGTGGCTGGGCCAGATGCTCTCTGGCTGCCGGTTACCTCACCCTGGTATCTCTACCTTGGAACTCTGGAGGGAAAGCCCACGAGGAGACTCCTGGGCACAGCTCTCCCCTAAGCTTGCCATGGCTTGGGGCTCTGCCACAATCAAGCTTCTGTTGTACTAGCTGAGAAGGAAGAGATGCGTCCCAAGTGGAAAGATTGTTTTGGTCATGGCCTTGGCCTGCCTGGGCCCACTCCTGGGCCAGAATGCTAGGTTACTAGAAGGAAAAGCTATGGATTTCGGGTCCCTCACAGCCTTCATAAGGATGGAGTGCTTCAGCATGGCCCTAACACAGGGCGCACAGAGCTGGGGATCCCCAAACCAGACACAGAGCTCAGAAGCTGCCAGATTCTGTGCTTACCACACCCCCAACCCCGCCATTCTTTTTATTTCTTTCCATTTTGTTGGGCTCTGTCCCTACTCACAGGGATTCACAGACCTCATGATCTCTCCCTTGTCTGGAGAGAAACCGTATTCATGAAAGCCACGGAAAACTTGTCCCCAATGAGGTATGAATGATCCTTTATATATTGTCATTCCAATGGACCTTTTTATTTTAATGGGCTAACGTAAGAGTTTCCTAATGTATACATTGGGAATCGTGAGGAAATCTTGATGGACTGATCAAAATTATTCCCACGCAAGCTCAATTTGCTAGAATTCCCATTGACTAAGGGTGCACACCCACAACAATGCTCCTCCCCTCCTTGCAAATCAGAAACTTCCACCTTCAGCGACCCGAGTCTCCAGCCCCCAGATGAAACCACATTTGGGGCAAGAGAGATCGTTTCACCACACACAAAATGGAGGTCACCCAGTGAAGCTCTATTTTCAAGAATGAGCCCAGTTTATCAGACAGCAGCGGACCGCGGTCTCAACCCCGTCTATTTGCTGAAGGAGCAGGAGAGGCGGTGGAAGGGGAGAGAAATGGTCTCTCTGCTTGAAAATCCCTTCCTGAAGTCCTCCATCGCCTGGTTGCCTAGCAACCAGAGCTGCCTGCAGCGGTGTGGGGCTGCTTTTGGTCCGTAGGGGGCGACTGTCTCCCTGGGGTCTCAGACTAGAGCCCTGGCAGTTGGGAGGGGGGTTCCCTAGTTAAGTGTCACAGTGTCTCAGTGTGGCTGACCTCCTCCCAACCTTGTCAACCCAGTCCAGTCTGAGCGGCAGGGAGCCTATGGAATGAGGAGAAGCTCACTATGAATCTGAAGGGATTTTGCTCACAATCATTAAAAAATGAAGAGAGAGGGAGGGAGGGAGGAAGGGAGGAAGGAACCTGTTAAAGGGGATAGGACAAAAAAGGGGATAAGGAAGGGGCCTGAGGAGGGCAGTTTGACCCTCTCCATTCAATCGAGGCTTATCAATGCTTATTTTTCAATCAGAGCAGTTCAGAGGTTGAAAGGAGTCTAGCAATCTCTATTGACAAACTGTTAATCATATAAAAGACTAGGCTCCTGGGTTACCAGCCCAGCCTAGATTTGGTCATTAAGGAAGATATTCATTCATTCATTTGACCATAATTAACACTAACCCACTATGTACCACGCAGTGTGCTAAGTGTTCTACATTCAACTCTCACAAGAACACTGTGATTATTTCCTTTTCACAGATTACAATACCAAGTCTCAGAGAGGTTAAGTAATGTCCAAACACAAAAATAGTGACTGGATTGGGTCTGATTGAGCAATCACTGTGTGCCAGTTCTAGGAGTACAGAAAACAATACATTTCTTTTTTCTGCCTAATGAACGCCTAGTCACCCTTTGGGACCAAACTGAAAATATAATCTCCTTTGTGAAACTTTTCTTAAGTCCCCTTCCCCCCAACAAGCAGAACTGATAACTTGCTTTTCTATACACCCTCCTGAAATACCACTTTTCACGGGTATAGTAATGATCTGCTTCCATATTTCCATTTCTCTCACTTTGAGCACCTTTGTGACAGGGCCTGTGTTCATCTCCAATTGGATATCTAATAAACATCCCAAACTCAACATGCTCATTTCTGAACAGCTGACCTTTTCCCCAAAAAATGACCCCTCCTAAAACTGTCCTTATCTCAATTGATGGCAATTTCACATCTCCAGTTGTCCTGGCAAAAAATCCTTGGAACCACACCTTGTATCCAATCTGTCAGCAAATCCTTTCAGCTCTCCCTTCAACATATACCCAGAATCCAACCACTTCTCATCATCTCTGGTGCTACTATGCTGTCCAAGGCACAACCACCTCTCAGCTGGATCATTTCAGCAGCTGCCTGACTAGTCTCACTGCTTCCACCCTCGCCCCATGGCCTATTCTCCGCAAAGAAGCTATACCAATCCTGCTAAACCCAAGTCACATCATGCCAGTTCTCTGCACAAAACCCTCCAATGGCACTCCATCTCTCTGAGAGGAAAGCCAAAATCTTTACATTGGTCTACAAGGTCCTACACAATCTAGTCCCTTATTAAATCTCTGATCTCATCTCCTGGCATTCTCCCCTCCTTACTCTCTGTTAAAGCCACTTGATTCTCCTTGCTGTTCCTTGAGCAAACCAGATGCACTCCTTACCAAGACCTTTGCACTCCTTACCCAGGACCTTTGCACTGGTCTCCCCTTGCCAGGTTTACTCTTCTGCATGGCTCACTTCCTCACCTTCCTCAATTCTTTGCTCAAATGCCACGTTTTTGGTGAAGCCTACCCTGACCAACCTATTTAAGATTCCCTCTATTTTAATTTCCAGTTTACAGTAAATACAGGGTACAGTAGTCCTCCTTTATCCATGGGTAATATGTTCCAAGATCCCCAGTGGATGCCTGAAACAGCAGATAGTACCAAACCCTATGTATACTGTATTTTTCTGAAGTGATAACCAAGATGGCTACTAAGTGACTTATAGGTGTGTAGTGTATGCAGTGTGGATACACTGGACAAAGGGATGATTCACATCCTGGGTGAGATGGAGCAGGACAGCACAAGATTTCATTACATAACGGCATACAATTTAAAACTTATAAAAAGTTTATTTCTGGAACTTTCCATTTAATATTTTCAGACTGCAGTTGACCATGGGTAACTGAAACTATGGAAAGTTAAAACCATGAATAAGAGGGGGAGTACTGTATAAAGGAACGAGATAAATGACACCATGAGGAAAAAGACAAATCCAAAACAACTGACTGGCACTTTTCAAAAACTTGATGTAGTTAATTTTTAAAAAAAGATGGACCCAGTTAGAATAGACACACCTCTCCCTATTCCTCACACTAAGTACAGCTAAAACTCTGGACATTATATATAAGACAAACATAAGAAGACTATGAAAGAAGAGGAAGGGGGCAGACTAACTAGGAACCCCAGTGACCTGAACTCGAGGTGATGAGTTCCTTGGGTTTTCTTGTTGAATCAAATATTCCAGACCAGGTACTGGAGAAGCCAGCAGCCTGGAAATGCCAATGGGCACAGACAAAAAAAAATGTAAACACCAGTAACTGGCCTGTTCTCTCTAGCCATAAGACCAGGAAATGGAGTTTGGCCAGACAGAAAACTCTTAGACAGTAACCACCCACTGCAACCACACACCACAGAAAAAAAAAAAAACAAAAAAACTGTAGCTGCACCCAAGCCAGCAAAGGCCAAGTAGATAACCCAGAGTTTCACTCTGGCCAGGCTCCCCCGTACTCTGGGGTAGTGTCAGAGAAGGCTGAGTATACAGCCTACACTTCCATCCCCAAGGGATAACAAGACCCCCTTCCTGTTGGGTGGTGTCAGTGTCAGAGGAGGCCTGGTGGTGAGTCAGGACTTTCACCACAACATATCATTTAGTGAGGCCACTAGCCTCCCTCTCCTCCCCTCCCAAAATCTCTCTACCTCCTGACTGTGGTGTTAGTGGAAGCCCACCTGGGGAACAGTAAAAAGGCACTTCTGCCCCTTCCAGCTAGGGAGGCATCAGTGGAGGCCTAGTAGGGAGCTGGAATTTTTATCCCTGCACGGTAAAAAGGAGAAGCCCCCACTACACCTACCAACCAAGGCCAAGGAAGGAAATTGAACTTGAACCTCTACCTGTCAGTAACCAGGCAGTGGCCCTTTCCTCTGATGAAAATGGTGTCAGAAGAAGCCTACCAAAAACAAAAGATGTAAATGAAATCCAGAGTCTCATACTATAATATCCAGAAATTCCCAGGATGCAATAAAAATCACTCCATATCTAAGCCCAGCACCTATAGTCCCAGTTACTCAGGAGGCTGAGTTGGGAGAATCACTTGAGCCCAGGAGTTCAAGGTCAACTTGGGCAATGTAGTGAGACCCTGTGTCTTTAAAAAAAAAAAAAATTCACTCATTATACCAAGAACCAGGAGACCTTCAATTTGAATGAGAGAGAGAAAGATTTCAACTATCTGACAAAGATTCTAAAGTGGCCAACAGAAAAAAAAAAAAAAGCTTCTATGAGCAATCTATGAGCAATTACAAACAAGGTTAAAACAAATTTAAAAAATAGCAAGTCTTGGCAAATAAGAGATATAATGAAGAATCAAATAAAACTTTAGAACAAACTATAATAACCAAACTAAAAAACTCAGTGGATGAGCTCAAAAGGAAGATGGAGAGGACAGAGAAAAGAATCAGTGAAAAGATAGAACATTAGAAATTACCCGATCTGAACAACAATGAGAAAATAATAGACTTAAAAAGAAATGAACAGAGTTGGGCACAGTGGCTCATGCCTGTAATCTCAGCACTTTGGGAGGCTGAGATGGGCAGATCACTTGAGCCCAGGAGTTCAAGACCAGCTTGGGCAACATGGCGAAACCCTGTCTCTACTAAAAATACAAAAATTAGCTGGATGTGGTGATGCACACCTGTAGTCCCAGCTACTCAGGAGGCTGAAGTGGGAGGATCACCTGAGCTTCGGAGATCGGGGCTGTAGTAAGCTGTGATTGTGCCACTG